AGCCAGTAGGGAAAAGGGGGCCAGGGAACTTTTATCCCCTGTGTGCGATTTCTGGAAGCCCAGGGAGGATGTTGGCCAGGGCGACCTATTTGGAAGCACATCAGCCCCTTTTGAAATACTGCGCTCCGGGGCTCAGTCGGGTATGCTCAGATCCAATGCCAGGGCAGGAGCGAGGGGCAGAGGGAGCTCTGGACAGGGCTGGCATGGCTTCTGAGGACCCCGCAGCAGAGGAGGCCGCCATTCTGGGCTTGGTCTAGTGTACAGGGCCTATGGAGCACCTGGGGTGTGCTTCCGGGGCACCATGGGCCCCGCAGTTCACTGGAAAGTAAACAGAGGGCTGGGGTCTCTGTCCAAGGGCACCTGTGTGCTCTCTTCCCTCCCCCCCTTCCCTTTCTCCTCCTCTTCCTGCTTTCCTAGGAATCCCTCACAGGGTGAGCACATCTCGAACACATCTTGTTCCCACTGTGTTCTGAGTTGCCTCCTTACAGAGAGGATGGAACACACGGTTCTCAACCCCAGCCCACATGCTCCAGGAGCTCTGGCTGGACTGGTTCACAAACTGTCCTTGTCATCTCCTGTCGGGACAGAGACCACTTCTGATCCCAATTCCAGGCACTCAAATTTCCATGTGTGTTAAAACTCTAGGTTAAAGGGGTGACATTAAGACAGGCCTGGTGCCAGTGAAGCAGAAGACCCAATACTATTATGGACCCCTGAACTCTTTTAGAATATTTTGCTGAGTTTACACACCTATAATATTTAAATGATGGAACAAAAAAAGGGGATACAGATGAATGTCCATTTTGTATCTGTGTATTCAAAGTGGTTAGGACAGATATATAGTTACATGCTCTTAATGAATAGAGGGATTTGTTCTAATCGTGTTTGTAAATAGGATATCATGTCCACATCTTGTACAGCAATTAACCACTAGAAAGAATGTATGCAATGTGTTAATTATTGAAACTGTCCTACCAATTTGGTCTGAAACTGTCTCATTGCTATTTGTTTCTCAATAAAAATATGGGAAAAATATGTGTTCAATGGAAAAAAAAAAAAAAAAAAAGACAGGCATGGTGTAGGGAGCTGCGTGTAGCCGCGCCCTAGGATGGCGCCGGTTTCCGCCTTCCACCCTCTCAGGGGGTGTGCGCTCCTGGTAATCACCTGTCCATAAAAGGCCAAGGCTTGGGCTAATGCATTGCTTCTGCATACCTGGACCAATGGACAGTACATACGTGGCGCCCCATGATTGGAAGCCCTGAGACTTATAAGCTAAGAGCAGGGGCCTCGAGGGGGAAGAAGGCTGATGTAACAGGGCAATAAAAGCTGCGCAGACACAACCAGTGGTCGCGTCTTCCTTGCTGGCAAGGCCGCGCGCGACAGCATGGTGGTACCCACCAATAATCCTAGCACTCAAGAGGCTGAAGCAGGAGGAGCACTGTGAGTTCGAGGCCAGCCTGGACTACACAGTAAGACCCTGTCTCAAAAAAAAAAAAAAAAAAAAAAAAAGAGCCGAAGTCCTGGCTCCTTTCTCCTCCCCATCCCTACTCTGTTGGAGGCAAACGATGACATTCTAAGCACCACCTGTGGGTCCAAATGGGCCAACAGTTGCCGCGATCCTGGTGAATCTAGAAACTTCCCAATCAAGCGGGCAATGTCACTGGCCTGCGCAAAGGCACTCAGGTCTCCTGTCCCTGTAAATACCCACCACTCAGCCCCTGCACTGGTCCCAAGCCTGAAAAATCCCCACAGCTACCTGGGCCAGCAGGGGAGCAGGTGGGTGCCGACCTCTAGTCCAGGGTCACTCAAATCCCTCATGGGCCCAGTCTCACCCTCTCTCCTCCAAGCCCGAGGGCTGTGCATTGCTTTAAATTGATACTGGAAAAACTGTACAAATAAAAGCTGTGTGAACAGCATGGTGGCGCATGCCTATAACCCCAGCATTCTGTGAGGCGGGAGGATTTCAAGTTGGAGCCTAGCCTGGGCAATTTAGTGTGACTCTGTCTCAAAAAATGACATAGAGGGCTGGGGATGTAGCTCAGGGCAGAGGCCGCGGGCTCCATCCCCAGCACAGGTGTGCGTGCGCACACACACAGGCTACCTGCCTTGTAATGTTTCAGCGCATGCACACATTGAAATGCTGTGTCCAAGCGAGTGCGGGCCTCGCCTCAGTCGTCCCCGTCTCGGTGGTAAGAGCCTCCAGCACCTGTCCTCTGTGTGTGAAATAGGGGTCGCCATGTTTCCCTCCAGTGCCCTTCCTGAGTCCTTTGCTTTAGGGTCTGGGCTCTACCCTACATCCACATTTGCATCTGCATCCACACACAGCCCTGCTAATTTTGGCTTCTGCAACACTACTTGCTTGATTTTCCATTTTCTACTTCTAATGTTGGGTGTTAGGCAATAACAGTTTTTTCTTTTAAAACACAGGATTTCCACGCATTCTTCCAAGCAAATGAAGTGCTATTAAAAAAAACAACAACAAAAAAAAAAAAAAAAAAAAAAAAAAACCTAACAGGTATTCAAAACATGAAGCCTGTTTCCTTAAAATCCTCAAAGATGGGATAATGACCAGTGCTTCAAAGGACAATCAGGCAGCTCTGCAGGAGAGCTGCAGAAATGTAAATTCACACTGCTGCGCCTGCCTTCCCAGCCAATCACAGGTGATTCCTTAAATCATGGCTGGCACTGTTGCCATGGGGACAGCTGGGGCCGCATCCCATAGTGCCCACAGCCCTCCTCCAGGGTCTGGCTAGGTGAGAGCTCCACCACTGAGCTGACCCCAGCCCCTCCCCTCCTTTTATTCGCCCAGATCAGTGGTGCAACGCAAACTCATGCTCTCCAACCCTCACCACCAGCCTCCTTCAGGACTTTTCACATTGCAAAACTGAATCTCTGCTCGTTCAACAACTCCTTCCCCCTCTCCAGCCTGCGTCTCTGTGAACTTGACCATGTGGGGCCCCTTCTCTATGCGGAATTAGACTGAGCTTATTTTAGTTAGTCTAAGGCTATTCCAAGCATGCCTCTGCTGAAGCACTTGTCAGAACCACTTCCCTTTTCAAGGCTGAGTAATATTCCACTGTAAGGGCATGCCACACTTTTACCTGTTCACCCCTGATGGGCACTGGGCTTGCTTTCCCTTATGGCTACTGTGATAACAATCCACAACACCTTGAATCAGACTCTCAGGTTCCTGGGCCTCAGCATCTTCAGGCCAAGGCCTAAGGATCTGAGTTTTAGAAAGCTGCAGCATCTACAAGAGATGACAGTGTCTATAGGTGGGTTGTAGAAATGCAAGTTCACACAGTGCGCGGGGTTGGTGTGGTGCTGGGTTTTCTGTGAGGCGCCTCTTAGGTCTGGTTCTCGGAGCATCCCAGCGGCTGTCCTTCCTTTTTTGTGTGCCATTAAGTATCTGTCTCTGAATTTGGGGCAAGCCTTTCAGGGGAGTGGGATTAGGCATGGCTGCACCTGGGCATTGCTTAGCTTTGCTCAGCTTGGCGCCCCCTTTGGGAAGTGGACTCCCTACCCCTTCCAGTCGCTTAGGCCGCTGGAGTCCTGGCAGGGTCTGTCTGCCAGGGAACCCACTCTCCAGGCAGAGGGCCCGGGCGCAGGGCCTGAACGTCACTCTGGCGGGCACACATCCGACAGATCCTAGGTATTTATGCAAATGACATGCCACACAGGGTCATTTGAGGTTGAAGGGACAATCCTGGTTAGCGTCAGCCCTGGGACTGTGAGGCCAGCATCCTGGGTGGCTCCTGTGGGCCGTGGGGCTGACTGGCCGAGCTGCCAAGTGCACAAGGACCAGAAGTGAACGCTAGCGAGGGAAGCATCGGACACCGAGCACTGTGCTCACTCCCTCCTCTGTCTCTCCCCCTGCCCTCCCCTTCATGTTTTTTTTTTGAGACAGGCTCTCACTATGTAATGCAGACCAGCCTCGAACTCGCTACGTAGCCCAGGCTGGCCTCCACGCCACGGCGACCCTCCTGCCTCAGCCTCCCGAGTGCTGGGATTACAGGCATGCACCGCCACTCCCAGCACCACTTCATCTCCGCAGCTCGGCTCTTGGTCTTTGTTTCCATTTGGTATTTTCTTCTGCCCTCTTCTCTCCCGTCCCCATGCCCTGTCAACACTTTCTTCCATTTTCCTCCTAGCTTTGCTGTTTTAGCTCTGTCAGTGCTGCTTATTTTGAGTGGAGCTTTGAGAAATAGCAGACAAAATGCAGGCTTTCTGCACTGGGCCGCAGCGGGACGGGCTCCTGAGCTCCTGGCATCAGAGCCGTGTCCTTCGGCGTGTGAGAGGTAAAGGGGTGATGAAGCCTGGAGTTCACGCTTCTGCAGTCAGGGTTCGGACAGCTGGCTAGCTGCATAAGCTCCGGGAAGACTGCACTGCCTGCATCTCCCGTGGGATCCTATAGCCAGTGCAGCCTGCAGCGCCTGGGAAAAGAGCCCTGCGCTGCGCATTAGGGCGCGCTAAGCAGGAGATCCACGGCCAGGTCTGTCACCTTGCGCTCGCGGCAGCACTGGGAAGAGGACCTCATGCAGAAAGCAAGGTTATGTATGGGCTGGGCATGGTGGCGCAGATCCGCAATCCCAGCACTCGGCAGGCTGAGGCAGGAGGCCCGCCATGAATCTGAGGCAGGCCTGGGCTACACGAGGAGCGCAAGGTTATGGCTTTCTGCATCGCCGCCGTGAAGGCCTCTTTGGCAGCGTGCTGGTGGAGCCTGCTTTTTATTAGCTCTAAGTTGTTTCCCATGGTAGAGTTCTTTCATCAGCTCGAAAATAGAGTCACATGCAGTTTGGGGGTCCTGCGTGCAGCAGCAGAAACAGGTGTTGGGGTGTGCACCGAGGGCCCAGAAAACATCCAGGGACCTCAAAATCCAAAGGCGCGCGTGGAAACAATTCCCCCCAGCCCAGCCCAGCCCAGCCCGCGATTCTCAGCTCCTCCCGCACACGGCTGATCATGAAAGCCACTATTGCAATTACAGGACAACGAAAGCTTACCATTGTTGTAAGAGCGAAAATTTCCTACAAATTTTATGTATTCATAAGTTGGAAATTCCTTTGGGTTCAAGCTGCCTCTGAGAAGATGGCAATAAAACTCTAAATCGTTGTCAGCTGGGCCGTCACAGGAAGAAGAAGAGAGAAAGGAGACAGCATTACCCAGACTGCAGACTAAACAAGCCTCTCCCTGCAGACCCCCGTGGGACGCAGCAGAGCGCAGGCCTGGCCCGCGGTCTGCTCTCAGGAGGCCTGACTTCCCAGTGCCTTCTAACCTCTGCAGCGTGCCTTTGTTTTCTTCCGTGGCTCCTGCATACTCTGCATTCTATACTTGGACCCAATTAGTCTTAATTTGCTCGCAGATGTCTGTGGTGGGTGATGTCGGCCTTGATTAGTTCCGCTTGTGTCATATGGTATATTAAAATAAAGCTGCTCATACAGAGCCATTCTCTTTAATTTAATCTTTTTGCTTTGCTCTGAAGTAAAATCAGATGTACGACAGGGCAAATTATTCATGGAAAATAGACTGAGGCCTGAGCAGGCCCAGCGTCCCTGCTGCTGCACAGAGCCCGCCCTGCTTCCCTGAGTGGTATGGTTCGCTGACACACGGCTGCCCTCTGGCCAGGTCACCAGATATTTTGATAAAAACTTTAACAAGAGTCTGTAAAAATGAAAAGGAATATAAATAACCAGAAGACAGCCTCGGGGGATAGAATTTAAATTTCTGACCTAATTACTCAATCATCAGTTGGTTACTTGGTATTATACAAAATTAGCATTTTAGTGTCCCCTGAAATAACAAATTTTTCCCCTGCTTCTCACACCGTTTTTTACTAAAAGACTCTCATGGAAATAAAGATTCTCTTGTCATACATGCAAAACAAGTTATTATCCTTCAGCTCTCTGCTTTCACATTTTCCAAATAAAAGCTGAATGTCTTACGTATTCCAAACTCCACTTTTAGCTCTCAACCTAAAATACAGCTCAGAGGATCTTGGAAAGGATCGAGGCACGAGGAAAATTAGTCCTCCCTGCTTAATTCACTCTAGCTTCGCTTCAGAAGTGAAATTTGTATTGTTTTAGATCTGGTAAACCCAGCACCGAGCAACTTACATTTTAGGAACTCCGGGGAGGGGGACCCCGTCAGGAGCATGTGAGAAGAAAGCATTTTATAAACTTCCGAATGTTCTTGCTCCGGGAGGAAATTTAACAAATTCTGATCCATGACATCCGACTGCAAGAGAGAACACAGAACAAGGGTGTGCACGCCACAGAAGCAATCCCTGAACGCAAGGTGAGGCCTGATGCGCGTCACTGGTCAGACCCAGTTTCTGAAACAGAAAGCCCAGGATCCCGCACTGAAATCTGAAAGGTTTTCCAGGCACTGTGGCTACGGTTCTTTGGCAGAGAACTCACGTAGCATGCACGAGGCTCTGGGTCCCATCCTCAGCACCATGAAATAAGTCAGTAAAACAGAAGTACAAATAAAAGGGATCAGGGTTGTCCCTGGTATCCTCCTGCGGGGAACCAAGCACCAGACTCGTGGAAAGATCGTGCAAGATCTGCTCAGAACGTACACACAGCCCCTCACAGACCACAGGACAGAAGCTTGGCATGGCGTAATAGATGCTCTGAGTAGCTGCTACTGTCTAGGGAATAATCCCAAGGAAGAAGTTTAGATGTGTCTGGCACAGGCACAGTTTTCTCCCAAACATTTTTAGTCTGTAGTTGGTGGAGTCCTGGATGGGGAACGGGCAGATAGAGGGTCCCCAGCACTTTTGCTTCTGAAAGCTCAGGGCTGAGCCGGATGGGCACAAGACAGCAGAGACCCCTCTTGCTGGAGGAGCCTCGGTTCCCAAAGCCCTGCATCCCCAGGGGCCAGCAGGGGCAAGCGGCAGGTGCCATGGAGTTGCCAATCGCTCATCCAAATGGCTCAAGCGTGCACGGGTCCCTCCTGGGCCCCCAGTGCAGCACAGGCCACCTACTGACTTCTGAAAGGTCGCTGATGACTGGCGTTGCCCTTTACCCCTCAGCACTGGATGCTGGTCCACAGAATACAGGCAAGCCAGAGTCTGGGTACAGCCTGTCCGAGAGGAGCGGGAAGGGCCTTGCTCGGCGCCTGTCGGGAGCTTCCAGCCGTGCGGCTACAGAAGCACTGAAGTTTCCATTTCATTTTATGTTCACTGAAATCTTTTGTTTTGTTTTGAGACAGGGTCTCGCTGTGCAGTGCAGGTGGGCCCTGAGCTCACTTTGTAGCCCAGGCTGGTCTTGAGCTAGCAATGAGCCTCCTGCCTCAGACTCCTGAGTGCTGGGATTACAGGTGTGTGCCACCACCCGGCTTCGCTGGAATCTGAATAGCTGCACGCAGCTGGCAGCTCCCACACAGGACAGTGGGGAGACTGGCACGTTGCTCCCTGCTTCAGTTTCCCCAATAGTCAATACACTCCCTCAAGCTCTAAATACCATCCAAATACACACGGGTGCCTGGGCTCAACCTTCCAGCTGCCGCTCAGAATCACACGTGTCCCCTCGGTCATCACTGGGTCCCATGAAATCCTCTCCCATTCCTGGGTTTGCATCTGTGAGTGTGGCATCGCCGATCAGTCACCTGGCCACACCCCATATGTACCCCTAGGTGTCACCTTGGCTTCTCCGGCTCAGGCTGGACCTCTGCCCCCAACAGTGCCCACATGCCACCTAGCTTCTCCCTGTGACTGTCCCTTCACCACTTGTCTGATGCCGCAGTTCTACCTGTGCTTGGGCCTCATCCTGGCTCACTGGGACGATCTGCCCATGCCACTGCCCTTGCTGCACACTCACTGGCCACGCAATCACTGTTGGCTGCTGAGCCCACGAGGGCAGCCGCTTTGCCAGTCAGCAGCAGCTGCAGTGTCAGAGCGTGGCTTGGTCACCTTGAGGTGACGCTGAGACACCGGTGCTGCCACCTGTGTTAAGCATCACACGGCAAGCACTGGCTAAATGCTGGGCAACCAGGCACTAAACCTCGCTCACCTAGTGCCAGTGATGTCATCATCAGAATGTTCGCAGCCTTCAGTTCAGGGCAGAGACTGGCTGAGAAAGGAGACACTGAGTATGCTGTCCTGAACTGAGCTCTGGTGGTGTGGTGGGGACCAGATGCTCCAGACAGAAGGGGGCTACTGAGCATCGTGTGTGTGTGTGTGTGTGTGTGTGTGTGTGTGTGTATGTGTGTAGGAGCCACAGATTCAGGGGACCGTCCAGACTCAAGAGCGTGTAGGACCTCGAGGCAGCAAAGGCAGGCAGGACAGATGTCCTGGCTTCTGACAGGCCTGCTTTCACTCTTTCACTCAATGACGGTGAGAAAGAAATGCCCATCCAGTAGGAACGGCACTTAGGGTTTTGAATTGGGGTCCTTTCATGGGCTGGCAAACTGTGGCCCAATCCTCTCTGGAGACCCCGATGGTGATACTGAACCACAGCTATGAGTCAGGTCCAGGAACCACAAGGGGACACAAATGACACTTGCGGGGCACTGTGCTACTCAGCGAAGGTGCCTGGCCGCTTGGGCACAAGGCTTTTTTAACCTAGGTCAGTGGCTGCTCTCAGGGGCTCTGGCCAGCAGCCATCGGGAGGCAAGGAACAGCTGCCATAGGGCTTTAGGCGATTCCACTGTGGCCCCATGGGCGTGAGAAGCCAGTGGAGACGGGCACAGTACACAAGACAACCAAGGGGGGATGGAGAGAGGGCAGCGACAGCTTTTATCCGGATGTCCCCCTAAAGCCTCATGCATCTCCATGTACAACCCTCAGTCCCCACTGAGTCTCTGCCATCATTGTTCAGCCCGCTTCCCTACCTTCTTTCTGAGCTCTTGATTTTATTTTAAGCCCCTTCCCTCTAGCATTTTTAGCAGATGACTAATGTTCACGGATGACAGTCGGCTTTCTTCTTAAAGAGCTTTCAGAAACTTTAGGGTGATAAGTAAGTTGCTCATGGGCTCCACTGCAGGCTGCTGCCCCAGGGGGTGCAGCAGTGGATGAGGCTTTGGCCTGGTGGCTCTCGGGGGCAGCCGTGGGTAGGTGTGTTAATCCACAGGGCCCAGAACTGTGCTTCTCCAGAGTGACTACTAAGCCATTTCTGTGTGCTGAAAACTGCCACAAATAGCGACAAGCTAACAACTTAAACCTGAGTGCTGATCAGAGGGAGCATTACATCTGCAGCTGAATTGTTCCTTGAGTGAGCTGAGCTGTTGATTAAAATAATAGCAATTACGGGCCTGAGGGCAGCGGTGCCACCTGCAGCAGCCATGTCCCATTATCAGCAGCCGTGCATACCTGTCCCGGGTGCAGGAGGAGGCACTCTCCCCACTTGTCTCAGGCTGCAGTATGCAGGGCAGCCCCTTGCTGCGCTGGCCAAGAAGCCTGGCCTGCACTCCATACTTGTTCCTCCATGTTTTTACCATGTGGGGCCTCAGGGCCATGGGCAGGAGCTGCCCCTGCAGCAGGACTGGGAGCCTCTGCCCTTGGAACAGCAACCCTAGCTCAAGGGCACCAGCAGGTGACGGGGGCTTAACAGAAGCACCTGGAAGGCCGGGTGCGATGCTGCATGCCTGTCATCCCAGCACACTGGGAAGCTGAGGCAGGAGGCTAGGCAGGAGTTTGAGCTCAACCTGAGCAATTTAGAGAGAGCCTATCTCAATCTAAAAAATAAAAAAATGGCTGGAGATGCAGGAGCGGGGTGTCTGGGTGGATGCTCTCCGGAGTGCTTGCTGGTGGATGTTGCTACCGGCCATCAGGAAGGACGGACAGATGTAGCAGCACTTCCCAGTCCCCCCCCCCCCCGGAACAGGTGCAGGGACTAGAGCACGTTTCTGCAGTGGAATCCAAGGTCAGAGAACACCACACTTTGACGAAAGCTGGGACGGACGCCTGGAGCACAAGGAGCAGTCACAAGAGGCGTCTCCACTGTGGAAGAGGACTTCCACGGTGCTAGGCCTAGGGCAGGTGGGCAAAACATCCCTGTTGCAGAAGCCCACCCCAAAGCTGCTGGAGGCAGGCCTGACACTGCGAGGGGAAAAATCTACAGCAGGAAACCATTTCATGCACAAAATTCTTAAAAATATTGTACCAAGTTACCTTTGGGCTGTGTACCCACAAGGTGCACAGGAAACACAAATGCGTTTTGTGTTGAGACCTGGGTGCCACGCCCGCAGGAGCTCATTATGCAAATACCTAAGCACATGCAAATCTATGCAAACATTCCAATAGCTAAAAAATCCCAAATTGAAAACATGTCTGGTTCAAAGCATTTTGGATAAGGGATACTTACACTTCTCTGAATTATAGCTTAGTGATTAATTCAAAGTTGATAAAACTACAAAGACAGATGATTTTAAAAATCAGGAAGACAGATCCTCTCTGTTGGCAGCAGCAGCACGGGAGCTCAAGGTGATGGGAAAGAAGCAGACACGAGCTTCTACAGTCTCGGCCTTGGTCATGTTTTCCTTCTTTGCCAAGGAACTGCATGTAAGGCCTCTGCACTGAGATACACCCTCAGACCTTTTTAATTCTGAGTTGGGCTCCCGCTAAGGTGCCCAGGCGCTGGGTTCAAACCTGCCACCTTCCTGCCTCGGCCTCCCAGTGCTGGAGTGAGAAGAGTGTGCCACCTCGCCTGGCTTACCCTCTGCTAGTTCTTAACCACAGGGACGATTTGCCTGCCAATTCTATCTTGGCCATTAAATTAAATCCTGCACATATGTTTTATGCACACATCTTTACAGATGTATAGAAAAAAGCAGAAAGATAAAAAGTTTTGTATAAATCTAGAGCTGGACCAGGTGGGGGCCTCAGCAGTGGGGCAGGCTCAGGGGAGAAGGGCTGAGGGATGTCTCCTTTTTGCTTTGTTTTGTTTGAGACAAGGTCTCACTTTGTAGTTCAAGCTGGCCTTGAATTTCCTACATAGCCCAGGCTGGCCTCAAACACGTAGCGATTCTCCTGCCTCAGCCTCCTGAGTGCTGAGATTGCAGCTGTGTGCCACCATGCCCAGCTCTGATTTCATGGTAAACTAAGGCAGGGGTTCTGTCTTTCCTTTTCTGCAACCTGTTCCCCTGCTTGTCCCTACTGATATCCCTGAAGGTGTTCCCCTTTCTCTGCGAGGGGGCTTCGTGGAGCCCAGCCGTGGACGCATCCTGCAGCCTGTAGGTCTTGCCTGACTTCCTTCTGGGGAGACTGGGTCATGTGTGCACCCATTTCTCGCTTGGGCACCCTGCTGAGCCTGTGACCTCCCGGACACACACGCCCCTCTCACTTCGACTCCTGCCTCCGGAGTCCCGCTGATTGGGCCTGGTGCCAAGGCATGGTGCCAACTGATTGTAAAATCACTTTCTGCTGTGAGCTTTCTTTTTCTCAATCAAAATAGCTAAGAACTGCTGGGAGGCTGTGTGGGCAGGGACATCGCTGAGCCAAAGGCTGCCCCTGGAGCGCTCGTCTGTGTACACCTGAGACTCCAGCACTGGCCAGGCAGGGGAAGCGCAGCCTGCCGCATTCCTGCAGCCCCACACACGGCAGGTCCTGTGTGGAGCGTGCCACACCGGTCTTGCTACTGGGACCCACAGTGGTCACCTGTCCCGTCTGTGCTGGGTCTTGGCCAGCCAGGTGTTCCCAGGGGCCCTATCCACGCAGCCCGACTGCTGGCTTCCAGCCCGCCCGCCCATCCTTCCCACTCTTCTCTGTGCCCTGCAGAATTCTGTGTACAGCTTGAGAACCAAGCTCTGCAGCCCCAGTGACTGAGTTCAGACTGTGACCCCCGCCCTGTCTGGCTGTGCAATCTTGGGTAAAGTAGGCTACCTCCCTATGCTGGCTGCCGCTTGCTCACCTGTGACAGCATAACGGTAAGGGTCATCAGGACAGCAAATGTGACCTGGCCTTCAGGCCTTCACTCTGGGCCTGGCACCTGCCCAGGTCTTCGTAATCATGAGCAGGTGGCCGCGCCCTCTAGTGGTGCCTGCGCCCCCTAGTGGTGCCTGGGCGCAGACAGTCCTAGGTCAATGAATGTTGGTCCTTAGTGGGCCGATGGGTGGAGTTTCAAAAAAGGTGGAAACCAGGGAGGAAAGGCAAACTCTCTCCTCCCAGCCCTAAGGATCAGATCCAGGGCTTTCACACTGAGCTACATCTCTAGCCATTTGAAACTCTTTCTTATGAGACATGGGCTAGCTAAATTGCTAAATTGCCCAGGCTGGGCTCCAAGTTGGAATCCTTCTGTCTCAGCCTCCTGGAGTGCCAGGATGACAGGGAGGGCACCACAAGGCCCAGCCCCAGGGGCTTTGGAAATGCTGTTAGCTCTCTGGAGAGGGACTGGGCTCATGCCGAGGAGTGAGTCAGCACAAAGTGAAACAGGCAGAGCTGCTGAGCAGCGCTGTCCTGGGCGGGTGCCCAGCAGTGGGGGCAGGGTCAGACCCTCTCCCCTCATGCTCTCCCAAGACACGAGCCCCACCATGTGCTCCCAGCTGTCCCGCCACCAAAGCCTCACCACTGCCAAGCATGACAATCTAGCTGTGACCTCAGACACGGCCCTGGGGGACCCCCAGCCTCACTCCAGTCTGAGTCATCTCTGGTCCTCAGGTCCCCCTTGGTTGACAGGGATGTCTGGGGTGCTCTGGGCTCTGCTGTGCTGTGATTCTCGTGGCAAGAAGGCGGCTGCGTGTCCCTACCCTAGGCCTGACCTTGCTGCCATCAAGGCATTGTGCCCCTTCCGGGGTGACACAGTGCCGCACCTGCCCTTCACCAGAGACCCCGAGTGGCCCAGTCTGGTCCTGCAGGACTCCTGGCTCTGTGTGAATCGCTCTCCCAATAGACCTCCCTGCACCACCTTCCAGCTAAAAGACTCCAGGAAAAGATGACAATGTGCACAGCCAAAGGCATGCAGCAGCGACTCACCGGCAGGTGCCCCAGGAGAGGCGTGATGCTGTCGGAGACGTACAGGATGCTGCCGTCCGTTGTCACCGCGATGATGAAGCCATCCAATGCCTGCAGAAATCGCAACATTGGAAAACAGCTTAGCAGTGCTTTTTTTTTTTTTTTTTTTTAAAGAGAATAACAAATAGCAAAACAGAAAAAACCATCAGAAACAATACAGAATTTCACTAAGCAGGATGATAAGAATTCAACGATAGTTGTTATATTGTATATCGTTGTCTTCAAATTAGTTGTTCAGATTACCAGATATAAGCATGCAGTCAAAAAGTTATACAAAAAGGGGCCGGGGAGATGGCTCAGTGGAATAAGCGCTTCCCTGGCAAGCGCAAGGGTCTGAGTTCAATCCCCAGTTCTGAAAAA